ATCTCAATAAAAAATAAAAAAAGACCCTTATGACTGGTTTTGTAGTCCAGGGTCACAAATGTATTTTCATCTCTCACTCATTTTCACATTCTGCATATTAGTTTTATTTCCCCAGAAGCTTTCGTTTCATGGTGAAATGCTCATTTGGTTTCACTTTCACTTCATGCATTTAAATTGTTAAGGCACAATGTTCTGGAAGGCTGCTTTTACGTGGATTGCAAAAAAGCTTGCAACATGTCTAGTTTGACACCACAGCTGTAGCACTTCTGTTGTTCCAAACCTCTATGATTCTGTTCAAAGCAAAGGAGAAATGCTGAAGAATATCCAGGCTGCTCTTTTCCATTTAATAAAAGTGGATGAGGACTTGGAGTGTCAGGTTATACTATAACAAAAAAAGCATAATACAAGTTGTGTCTATGAGACAAATGCTTAGTCAACTGACAATTAAATACAGTAATAGGCAAAGGATGTAAAGAGAGAGAGAATGTCATTGATGGATGCTGGTTATGTGGTGCTTTTGATTTACTAAATGCTTGTGTGTCAAAATCTGTGATGCACACACCCTGAGCAAATGATGCAAATGTATGTAAAACTGGAGTGATGTAACTTCTGGGTGGGGTTTCTTTTTCGGGGAATGAAAGTTAATGACAATGGAGAGAGATTGTGAAGAAAACGAAACTCTACTGTACATAAATAGGAGAGAGAAGCAGAAATTAAAGACTGAAGAGAAGAATCCAGAACTGACACCTCCGTCAAGGTAAGTCTGATTTCTGCTTATCTCTCCTGATCATTAGTTGTGTTTGCAAAGGCAAGGGTCACTCTTACTATTGCTCATTCTATTGTTTTTATTAAAAAGTATCGAACTTCATTATGTTACCTGGGAATGATTTGTCCAATCATGTTTGTACTTTTCTAATCAATCACACAAGCAAATTGCAAGATATGATTGTTGGATAATACGAGGGCAATAAAGATGCGATTATTGCAAAATCGTTTTAAAATTTGATTCAAAGCCAGAAAATAAAGAAACCATTATTCATCTCTCAGGTTATTCCTGGGCAGAGAAAACAACACTCCAAGTTCTCGACATGAAAATTAAATCTTATTCTGACATGATATTGTGTTTCATTTGATTGTCAATATGCAGCATTAATGGCACCAGAGTTTGAAAGGTTAAGTACTGGTTGTGTTTATATGCTTCAAATGTCTTTGAGACGCATCTTTATGATTCGTCTTGCTGTTTTTTTCAGCCTCTCATGCTATGGGTGCTGCGGTAAGATGCCATGTACAGAACAAGAAGCTCTAAAAGAAACCTCTGCATTCCTTTTTTTATTTTTAAACAAGTGCACACAAATATTGTGTACCCTACCTGGCAGACAATAACCCATATAAACCACTTGAAAGACCGGATCTAGAGACCAGAATATCATAGAGATTTGGGGTTGGACTCTTTTCATTCTGACTCACAGTGTTGGGGAAAGTTACTTTTAAAAGTAATGCATTACAATGCTGCATTACTCCCTAAAAAATAACTTATTGTGTTACTTAGTAACCTTTTATCAGAGGTAATGTTACATTACTTTTGCATAAATTTTACTCATCTGGGCTGGGCTTGTTTGTTTGTTTTTAATATAAAAAGTTTTATTTTTGGAAAAGGTAAAAGCCCTTTAATTCCCTCAGGCTGAAAGAGATGTAACCTTTCTGCTGTGTTGCCACTCTGGATTGCATGAAGAATATGATGCAAGAGAAGAAAGTTCATCACTCTTCAGCAAAAAAAATAAATAAATAAATACAAATCTATGTTGATTTAAAGTCATTTTCACTTATTAGTATTGTTATAGTGACGTGACATGTGGCCAAGTATGGTGACCCATACTTGGAATTAGTGCTCTGCGTTTAACCCATCCAAAGTGCACACACACAGCAGTGAACACACACACACCGTGAACACACACCCGGAGCAGTGGGCAGCCATTTATTGCTGCGGCGCCCGGGGAAATTGTTGAATTGGATCATCAAAGGTCAGCAGCAAAGACATTGGTTAATAAAATGGGATGAAATACATATACTGTAGGATATCTGTGCTATTTAACATATTTAATTATTTCAGGTTTGCGTCATATTCTGAGTTTGCTTTTCACTGTTTTTATTCATTTTGAGGAATACTGAATCTGTTTTTGTGCAAGTACGATGAGTAAATGCATGTTGACATTTAATCTAAAACTACAGGAAGAATCATGTTCACACAGCGCATACAATTTACTCTTGATTTCTCTCAACGTGGGAACAGGAGAGCTATCAGTCAGTAAATGGGAAAGCAAAGTAACTGGTGTTACGTTTTTGAATATTAGAACCTGATATTGATATTTTCTTGTAAATTAAAAAATAATGACTTATTTTAGTAGTTATTTGAAAAAAGTAATCTGATTACGTAACTCACATTACTTGTAAACCCCAACACTACTGGCTTGTTAGCAACCACCCTCAACGCCCTAGAAATGCCATAACAGCTACAAATATCATCCTAGGAACTGCTTAGCAACACCCAAGCAGCAACCTAGCAATACAATATCATAACACCATATCAAAATGTTGCAATAAGCTATTAAAAGCTATTCTTGGATGTCGGCCATTTTGAATTTTGTCATAAAGTACTATATTTAATGAACACTTTGACACATTGGTACAAAACTTCATGTCATTTTGTACCATACCCCAAAGGTACCTATGAAGGTTTGAGTTAGTGCCACCTAGTAGTCGAAAGTAATGCTTCGTGAATGGTTTTGTGAATTTTGTCCTACAACCAATAAATCATTGGATCCTACAGAATCCAGCAGTATACATTTTTCAAAAGTCATACATTTTGCTGTCTGCCATTTTGCATCAGTTAAAAAACAAAACAAAACAAAAAAAAACATACTCCTTCTAGAGTGTTTGTCCAATCTTCACCACATTCAATGCAGATCATCATCAGACCATAGTAGAAAAAAAAAAAAAAAAGATATAAAAAACTTTTTAATAACTCAAACTGTTTTAATGTAACTCATAGTCAAATTTGCTATAGTGGAGCTGCACAGTGTTTTATGCAGTATCTTGGTAATACTTCTGCCTGTTGCACTGAAACTTGATATATCAAATCACGACCATGTTCTGATGCTCTCTACCACACTTGTTTAGCTCCTCACTTTGCCTCTTTTGTGCTTGGGCCCAAAATTGCTGTTTCAGCTGTAGTTATTGTTGTTGATGTTGTTGCAGCTCTTCAGTCAACCTTCAAGTTTACTATCCGACACAACCACAATGACTACACCCGTGGTCATCTCTCGCCACCTTCACTGCCCCATCTGCAAGAACCTGCTGACAGATCCGGTCTCAACCACCTGTGGACACACCTTCTGCAAGGACTGTCTGGACAAGCACATCAGCATAACCGAGCTGCAGTGCCCTCTTTGCCAGGAGCCTGTGACCACCAAACCCTCCATCAACGAAGCCATCGAAGCCCTGCTGCGAGAGTTTCGACAGACTCAGCTACCCAACCTAGACCTCTTCTGTGGAGAAAGAGACGCGATTCCGTGCGACGTCTGTGACGAACACCTCACGTTTAAAGCCGTGAAGTCCTGCCTGATCTGTCTGCTCTCCTTCTGCGATGAGCACCTGAAGCCTCACCAGTCTATGGCAAGATTCAAGGGCCATAAGCTGGTGAATCCTGTGGAGAAGCTGGATCAGAGAGCGTGCAATACGCACGGCAGACCTCTGCAGCTCTACTGCAGACGTGACGAGCGCTGCATCTGCGCCTTGTGTGTGAAGACGGGTGGAGACGTGGTACCTGTGGAGTCAGAGAGAGAGAGGAGACAGGTGAGAACATACAGCTGTCGGGAAACCACACAGATCTTCTCACCTGAGCTGATGTTTCCCAAAAAGAACAAAGACATATTTGCCATTTTGCATCAGTTAAAAAAAAAAAAACATACTCCTTCTAGAGTGTTTGTCCAATCTTCACCACATTCAATGCAGATCATCAGACAATGATGATCTCAATTCAATTCAATTAAGTGTGAAAAAACATCAATGCATTTAAATTAGTCAGATGCTTTTATCCAAAGCGTAAAATAATCCAAAAAAGAGAAAACAATGTAATTGTACTTTTTTTGACAAAAACTATAATGCTATATACATAATACTATAATAACACTGATTCAAGGTATAAATTCCATCAGTTCATGCATTCCCTTTAACCCACGCATGCTCATGCTAACTAAGCTAGAGGAACACCATTTCCCTGATTTAATTTACGTAAACATTTCAGATAAAGAAAATTGGGACCAGACATTTCATAGTTGAATTTGAGTAAACGATCAATATCACACTCTTCTGTAAACTTCTGTAATTTCCTGGTCCGTTTTTTGTTTTTTTGTTTTTTGGATGCAGTTTCTGCCGGGTTAATTTCTGACACAGATTTTATATGAATTGACTGATTTTGTATGAATTCAAAGTACTCAGAAAGCTTGGTGTGTGTTTGTACAGGCCGTGCAGCAAAATACTATTGAGGTGATGGAAAGGATGATCAATAAGAGGGAAGACAAACGTGAGAAGCTTAAGGAATCAGCTGCAAAATACCAGGTATGTACAGTACAACATATGCAAATAAGTATTACAATTATAACAAGCTTCAACAAAGGTTCATTGACAACACTTTCTAAATCAAATAAGGTCAAGCGTCCTCAGTGTTGCACAATGCATATTATTTCCCATATTATTTTGAACCAGGAGGCCGTTCTGTGTTTTCAGTTGGGTTTCCTCCACAATCCAAAGACATGCACAGGTGAAATGGAGACACTAAATTAGAAAAGCAGTTTGGCAAATGGATGAATATAACAAATGACAAAAAATATTATATTACATTTCTGACACAGATTTTATATGAATTGACTGATTTTGTATGAATTCAAAGTACTCAGAAAGCTTAGTGTGTGTTTGTACAGGCCGTGCAGCAAAATACTATTGAGGTGATGGAAAGGATGATCAATCAGAGGGAAGACAAACGTGAGAAGCTTAAGGAATCAGCTGCAAAATACCAGGTATGTACAGTACAACATATGCAAATAAGTATTACAATTATAACAAGCTTCAACAAAGGTTCATTGACAACACTTTCTAAATCAAATAAGGTCAAGCGTCCTCAGTGTTGCACAATGCATATTATTTCCCATATTATTTTGAACCAGGAGGCCGTTCTGTGTTTTCAGTTGGGTTTCCTCCACAATCCAAAGACATGCACAGGTGAAATGGAGACACTAAATTAGACAAGCAGTTTGGCAAATGGATGAATATAACAAATGACAAAAAATATTATATTATATGAATATATTGATAACAAAAATCTAGTCTTCCACAAAAGACAAGGAAATGACAAAGAGCTGATTTACAATGCAAACCCCGTCTCGTTCAGCAAACAACACAAGATAAAGACAAGAGGCAAACACAGCATGACACATTTATGTAATCATAGCAGGGTAGGGAACAAAGGACGTTTTAGACTTTGAGAGATCTATACATCAGCAGGTGCTTGTGAAGAAGAATACGCAAAGATTATGCAAATATGTCTCACATAAACAGACCTTTGAGTTTGGGCTGTCCAAATATGTTTTACAAGAATATACTATTTTAGTTGTTCTACTGTCAATATGTCATGTTTAATTAAATGTGTTACTTGCTATTTCTTTCTAATTTACTGTTTGCATTTTATTTAACATTTTTAAATGCATCATGTATTTTTTTTATTGTGTTTCATTAATGAGGAAAAAAAAATAACTTACATGATTTTAGCAAATGGCTGCAATATAACAAAGAGTGGAAAATTTAAGGGGGTCTGAATACTTTCCGTACCCACTGTATATTAATAATCATTTCTGATATTCATTTAAGTTACTTGCTGTTTCTTTTAATTAATTTTGAAATGTACTAGTAATTTTGGAGTAATTAGTACTAGTGATTATTGCAGTATTTATACATTTATATGTAGCCTATTTTTCAGTTTTAATTTTAATTTTTAAGTTTTTTATTTTATTGTGCTTTTATTTTCATTTGTAATATTTTTTATTTATTTTTAAATAGCTCTAATTATTTTTTTATTTCATTTTCACTTTTATGAATTTTAGCATTTTAATTTATTATAAATATGATTATGATTATATTTTTCATATTATGTTTTATTTTATTTTGGCTTGATCTAATTTATCAAAAATTATTGTTGCTTCAGATTTAGATTTAATAACAACACTGACCCAGACTCAAAGAAATGATGTAAAGCAAGCCAATCCGATTAGAGTTTGCCAGAGCAAGAATAAGCATTTAATTTGTGTCCAACATGCGTCCACTCCTCACAGGCTCTGCTAAAGAAAGAGCAGCAGGAGATACAGGAGGTGTTTGCTGCACTGATGGAGGTGCTGGGGAAAGCAGAGGAGGTGCTGCTCGCTCCTCTGGAGGACGGGAGGAGGTGTTTAGAGAAAGAGATGGATGAAAAGACGCAACAAATACAAAAAGACATTCTCAAGTACAAGGAGGCCATCGTGTTTTTGAATCGCACCAAAAATGAGGAAGACGACATCCTCTTCATCCAGGTTAATCAAACTTGACTAACAATTTAAGAAGTAAAAATTATAGTATATTTACTAAATGTGTAATGTGTGTTTTGCACTTTCTCAGTCCTACCCGGCCGTGCCAGCTGAGTTCACAGATGACTGGACGCTTTCCATTGACACTGAGTTAAACTTTGGCACAATGAGAAACACAAAGGCAGAGTTAATGGATGAGATTAAGACGCATCTGGCTAAACTCTGCACTGTTGGTGAGTGTTTATATCTGAGAGTTGTGATGCAATTGCTCATAAATAGCATTTGGATAGGCTTATTTGAACTCATACTACACTGTTTGTTTGCCCTTATGAAAAAGAAGTAGGCTACACTTCAGCATACTTTTAGAGAGAGTACTTATTATGGAAATAATATACTTTAAAAGAACATACTTAAGTGTGAACTTAATTTAATGTTTTCAGACACTTAACTGCATGTTAAATGCAATTAAATGAAAATGTATTGCAGTTTAAATTTATATTAAATGAGATTTTGTTGAACGTATAGTGTTTTTGACCCACTTAAGTAGGACTTAAGTACATCTTCATATGTAATTTCATAATTACATTTATTGTCTTTGAAATATGGTTGAAGTACTGCTGAATGCACTGAAGCATTTATGATAAACTAAAATATACTTCAATGCAATTTATTTTGAAACTTCAAAAGGTATTTTAAAGTAAAACTTTTAATGTGACATTATTACAAAGGTCACTTTTTAAAAGTGTACTTCAGTGTTAAGAAACGGTCATGAAAATGTATATTTTTAAGTCACTTAAGTAGCCTTTTATTCTATTAATATTATATTATCTGCAAGTACAGTTTTAAAATATACTTTTGAGGTTTAAAGTGCACATTCAAAACAATTAAGTGCACTTAATTAGGTGCACAGGCATGAATGACACCTGAGATCTTCTTGTTTTGAAGAGGAGATGTGGATATGATGGTATCTGTTGTATAATTTAATGTAGTCTACTTTACAGTATCATTGAAGTATCATTGTTTATGCATATGGTTATTGAACAGTATCAAGGTGTATATCAAAGATATGTATTATGGTCCAGACAGTCTCACACTTGTAAATTTGTTCGGTATATCTTTTCTTTTTTACAGACATTAGAAGGATTCACAGCTTCTCAGGTATGTGCAGGAACAATTTCTGAGCTACTTCTTCACGTTGAATGTTTACAAATCTCATTCTTTGCAGAATCTCAAACATGCAGTAACTGAGAATCTGTCTTTGCACAGTAAACGTGACTCTGGACGCAGAAACGGCGCATCCGCACTTAGAGGTGTCCGCAGACGGTAAAAATGTGCGCGACAGCGGAGCGAGTCACGACATCCCGGGCGGCCCGCAACAGTTCGACCTGGTCGGAGGAGTCCTGGGAAATCCTTGCATCACTTCGGGAAGAGCTTTCTGGGTGGTGGAGGTGGGGAATAAGGTGGGCTGGGAGCTGGGGGTGATGAGGGACGGAGCGAACCGGAAGGGCAAAGTGTCCTACAAACCCAGCGAGGGTTACTGGGCCATCATGCTCTGCGCTCAAAACATGAATTTGTTCAGTATATCTTTTCTTTTTTACAGACATTAGAAGGATTCACAGCTTCTCAGGTATGTGCAGGAACAATTTCTGAGCTACTTCTTCACGTTTAATGTTTACAAATCTCATTCTTTGCAGAATCTCAAACATGCAGTAACTGAGAATCTGTCTTTGCACAGTAAACGTGACTCTGGACGCAGAAACGGCGCATCCGCACTTAGAGGTGTCCGCAGACGGTAAAAATGTGCGCGACAGCGGAGCGAGTCACGACATCCCGGGCGGCCCGCAACAGTTCGACCTGGTCGGAGGAGTCCTGGGAAATCCTTGCATCACTTCGGGAAGAGCTTTCTGGGTGGTGGAGGTGGGGAATAAGGTGGGCTGGGAGCTGGGGGTGATGAGGGACGGAGCGAACCGGAAGGGCAAAGTGTCCTACAAACCCAGCGAGGGTTACTGGGCCATCATGCTCTGCGCTCAAAACATGTACGGAGCTTTTGAAGACCCTCCACTCCAGCTCCATCTGGAGACCAAACCTCAGAAGCTGGGAGTGTTTGTGGACTGCGAGGAGGCTATGGTCTCCTTCTATGATATGGAGGCTCTGTCACATATTTACTCATTCACTCGGTGCAGCTTTAATGGAGCCATCCGTCCGTACTTCAATCCTCATCCCAACAAAGACGGAACCAACTCAAGCCCGTTGGTCATTTGTCCTGTCAATCAAACCGACATCTCTGTGTCAAAGTAAGGGCTGATTTTATGAGTTTGAAACTATGAGGTGTGAGGATATTAATATTCAGTGAGATTGACATGATTCCCTTTTGTTTGTGTCTTTGTTTTCTTCTTTAGTGTGATATTCTCTGTTGTACTGTGAACAAATTTTGAGGTGAAAATGATGCATTGTACATATAGAGATATTTATATAGCATTTAGAATTTGTATATATTTTAAAGAATATTTTAATGAACAGGGTGCTGTCCTTCTAACTGTAATTTCTCTAAATTTCTACTAAAAGTAATTTTTAAATGGTCTTTTTTTATTCTTTATAATAATATGATGTTTCTATTTTATTAAACATGTTCAATGCATTATCCATCCATCCATCCATCCATCCATCCATCCATCCATCCATCCATCCATCCATCCATCCATCTATCTATCTATGTGAATATTCATATGAATGTTAACAGATGTAACTGTGAAACGGCAATAAAGCTATTAAACTAGGCAATTGTATATGCATGTGAAATGCAGCATTTATGCATTTAAGATACTAAAAAAAATACTAAACAGGAAAACAGGCTGGTTTTATTTGATAAGACACAGAAAAAAACAGTAATATTGTGAAATAGTATTACAGTTTAAAATCTGTATTCTATTGTAATATAATTTAAAATGTAATAATGCATTACTCCTCATTTTTGATGATTAACAATAATTGTAGGTATAAGAGGGAGAGCTTGTCTGTCCACACACTTGTGAACAGCTCTCATCTCATCTTTCACAGCGTTTGTATTATTGTCCATGTACATCACGGCCTGAGAGCAGGACAGACGAGTGATTTACACATGCAGATCCACAGGGATGTGTTTGCTTGTCCCAGAGACTGGAGAAGAGTGCTGAGCGTTCTCAGGAAAAAATTATTACTTTTATGTCTAGTTACTTGCATTAGTCACTCTGAAATGCGGGCTTGGGTTTAATATCTGAATCGGGAGAACAAATCTGTCAGGGTTGATAAAACTCAGAGAGAAAAAAAAAGGAAAAAAAGACAATTGCTCATAAGGTGAAAGCATTTGAAATGTCAGCATTTGAGTGTTTCTAAAGACTTCAAGACACAAACTACTCTGAGAAACGATGAGTCAGCCAGGCCTTGACACTCCTCACAGAGTAATTTTGTGGCAGCCGCAGGAATGATGGACTCTGGGTAGAACTTGCGTCAGGGGCAGGTCAGGTGAGATTTTACAACATCATGATAAAAATATTACATTCACTTTGGCAGTTCAGTTGAAAGTTCACAGAACAATGTGTTTTGTTGATCCTGGAACAACAGCGTTATCAAAGAAACATAATTTTAACCCCGTCTGTCACCCCAACCGTAATGATAAACTATTACTAAAATCACATCGCACAGAATTAATAAACTGTTCAAATGTTGTAAATTATGCCATTGGAATTTGAAACACCATAAATGCAAATGATCAAAATGGCTTTTAGCTTTATTTTCAAAGCCAGTAAAATTAAACTGTTCAATCTATGATGAACTAAGACCGTTGATCGTTTCTGCCAAACAAATGACTCGTTAATTCAAATTCTTTGAGAAGTAACTTAATAATATATCCACTTCTGGTAACAAAAAATAATTATATTCATCTGCTTTTGTAATGAACTCATTGAGTACCTTTTTTTATTATTATAGACAGCTTTCATTTGCTCTTCAGCTGAATTGTGTTGAGCTGTTAACCCTGCTGTGGTGACAAATACTTGCCTAAAGATGTCGCCAGCGAGGATTATTCCCTTTAACAGTGTTAAATACAGGTGCTGGCAGTATATTGTGTTGCAAAACATGCATTACAATGCGAATTACCTGTAAGTATAAGCCTCATGCATAGATTCCCTTTTATCGGTGCAAAAGGTCACTTGCATTTTCATTTCCATTCACAATGTATTTCACGTAGTGAATGCAAAATAATTACTGCTTGTGTTCAAGGATAATGGTCAAGTATTTCTGAAACATTGTGTTTTTAGTGAAAAAACAAAAACAAAATGAAGTTGCAGTTGTCAAGGCCAAGCAAGAAATGAGTCTGAATCACAGCAACAACTTGATAAGTTTGATGACAGCACCATCTACTGGTCAAAATATCAAACACAGTAGTATGAAAACAGTAGTGAAAACATATCAAAAATATAAACACATGAGCTAAGTCTGATGATAATGTTGTATTTTTTTTCAATATTTGGTGTATTGAAACTAAAGATGGCAAGTGTCAAGTGTAAGAGTCAGTTCTTTAAGGTTCAACAAGCAGTTTTGGGAAAACACTCCTTGATCTAAAATCTTGACTATGCACTCAAATATGTATCTATTTACTTATTTTCTGACACATGGAGTACCGTGTCTAAGGTCATCCATACTGACCATCCGTTATTTTGAATTGCATTGAATATTTTTTTAAGCACATCCTTCACCTTTCATTCTGATCTTCTTTGAAATTTGACCAGTTTTCCCAAAATGTCATAAAAAAGTTATACTTATTTGATATTGTTCACCATTTTCTAGTAACACACCAACACAAATGATAGTGACGCTTGCATTGGTAGTTTAATAGCTTGATTTGTGGAAATGGGTCTAATAAACACATGCTTGCACTGATTTACATGTTTATTTTCAGTTATTCACAAACAAGTACAAACATGGATTATACTAATTCATTTGTTTTGTATGCTTTGTTTGCTTGTCATAATTACTCACATGGCCATGCAATGCAACAGATTATATTTTTTTGTAGAAATATCACTATACACATGTGCTCATCTACATGTTTATTTTAATTTTCAATTATATAAAAAGTGGACTTATATACTTGCACTGATTAACATGTATATTTCAATTGTATTTCACTACACATTGTATTTCATGCGTATTTCAATTTTCAGTTTTGTTTGCTTTGGTTGCTTGTCAAAATTCCTCTCGTGTGGTCATGCAATAAAAACTGAGTTATATAAAAAGTGGACTTATATACTTGCACTGATTAACATGTATATTTCAATTGTATTTCACTACACATTCTATTTCATGCGTATTTCAATTTTCAGTTTTGTTTGCTTTGGTTGCTTGTCAAAATTCCTCTCGTGTGGTCATGCAATAAAAACTGACTATTTGTAGAAATATCCATATGTGTCCCAGGACCACAAAACCACTCATAGGGGTCATTTTTTTGAAATTGAGATTTATACATCATCTGAAAGCTGAATATTTAACCGAGATACAACTATTTGAAAATCTGGAATCTGAGGGTGCTTAAGGCTGCTTTTGTGCTCCCATTTAATAATTAGGAAAAAAGCCAAAGAAAGCAGTTCTCAAGTGCACATAGTACGGTATAGAAACAGTACTGTACTGTAGAGTCACGGTTCAGCAGCAGTAGAGGTAGAAAAACGGGAAGAGTTTCTCTTTAAAAGAGTCCATAAAGGTGTAGATGTGACTTTTGTTTTGTACGTCATAGAACGACACCTGTCCTTCTTCGTAGTCCACATAGACGCCCACTCTCTTCAGCTTGGGCTCGATGGAGAGCAGGAGGGGTGGAGAGGAAGAAACGCGATATTCCTGGCCTTTCTTCATGGCTAGAGCCCAGTAGCCTTGAGCTGTGCTCACCGAAATCCTGCCTTTTCTGTTGACGGACGCCAGGGCCACACCGATGTACCAGTCGTCCTTCTCGCCCACCTGGACCTCCCAGTAACGGCGTCCGGAGGACAGTCCCTCGCGGCTGAGAGCGATCACCACCGTATCGAAGCGCTCAGGTGTGTCGGCCAGGTCCTGCCACGAGCCCAGGTGACGCATCTGACGGCCGTCCTCGGACAGCTGCAGCCAGGGGTTCGCCGTGTCCGGGTCAAAGGTGATGTCCACTTCATAGGGAACATACAACAGACACGTGAGCGAAAAACCAAACAGACCAGGATGAGATAAACACACTTGACTGGACTAGTGATGTATGACAGATCAAACATACAAGAAAACATTACCTGAGTAGTTCTGAACCCTGTTCAGCTCTGTTTATGACGACAAAAATCAATTGATTAATCAATAAAATAATCATAATTTTTTATAATTAATTCAATTTCAGTTACATTTTTTTTTTCATTTCTGTGTTTCTGCCTTTTTATTAAGATGGTTGATTGTAGTATAAGAAGGGGTATCATTTCTATTCAAATTTGTGTCATGCATTTATAAATATATTTGTATTATTAAGTTGCAATATAATACATTTAAAATGCATTAAACTTTAAATGTAACATGGGATAACACTATAGTTCTGTTTGTGCTTTTGTATCTTAGTCAACACATTAATAAGCACACTTTTTTAAAGCACAACAAAGAGTATTCAAACATGATATAAAATGTACTTTAAATTAAAACATTTCATTTTATGTTACAAAGGGCACGTTTTCGAAGTGTACTTAAGTGTTAAGAAAGTCATGAAAGTGCCTCTCTTTAAGTTCATTTAAGTGACCTTTTATTTCATTCATATCATAGTATCTCATATTATATCATATTATATTATCTGTACAGATTTTTAATATACTTTTAAGATATTAAAGACACTACAAGTGCACATTCAGTACAAAAAAAGTGCACTTCTTTTTTTTCACAATTCGTCATGATTACAACCAACCTGACTTAAAACTGTGCCACATGCTGTGGTGAAAAGAAAGTATCAGTGCAGAAATAGAGTGATGTGCAAGTTCGTACCTATTTCTGCAAGTTTTTCTACTTCTTCAGTAAGTGTCTCCACCAGTTTGAGCACAGCTCTTCTGGTGGTGCCCACACACGGATCCGCATACACACAGGTCTCAGACCAGTCTTTAGTGTGGGGGTGAGACATTAACGATGGAAAGTTCTGGAGGAGAAGACAATGGACATTAAAGTAGCAGATTGGCAGACTCTGAATAAAACATTCTATAAAACGTTTTGGATGTCATTTACACCTGTATTTAACACTTAAAATGATAATGTCAATTGTTCAACATTACAAGCATGAGGTAAAAATGCTCCACCTGCAGGAAGTGAATGTGGTCTTCAGTGTGTGAGAGATACTCTAACTCTGTGTTCCTCAGTTTCAGAACATCTATTTCCTGCTCTAGTTCTTGTATTTGTCCGTTGGCCCAGCTCTCGGTCTTCCTCTGTTTCTCCTCGATGTCCAGCACCAGTTCGGCCTGGACCTTCTGGACCGCTCGGATCAGGTCCGAGAACACCTGCATGCTGTCCTCGATTTCTCTCTGCGCGCTGCTCTGTGATAAGGAAGAGATGCGCACTTATCAATGCAGACCAAAAAAATAAAATAAAATAAAATAAAATACAATATATATATATATATATATATATATATAGAATATCATATATTAGCCAACAGAATCAATTAAAATTGCATCTCTTCAAACTAAAAAAAAAAAAAATGTATAAAATACAATATATATATATATATATATATATATATATATAGTATACCTTATAATAATGATGTATAACTTGATTTATAACTGCTGTCGGGTTGGATTTCACGTCATGCGTCTTTGCATGGTTACATTACATCCGTAAATAATAAAGGTCCGTGTGGTGCAGTGTTAATAGTTTTGAAAGCTTGTGGCCATAACTAATGTGCAACGCAATGGATCATTCAAAAAGATTATGATCTGAGAAATAAACTGTTAAAACAAAGAGATGTGCTTATACGAGCAAAAAAAATAAGTGACAGAGCATGTAATATAACTCGTATCAACATTGGACTGCTTTTCAGAGATAGCGACAACTCCGAGATTAGACGATTTAAAACCAGCCCAGAGACGGCCTTTTCTCACTCCACAGGTTAGATATTTAGCACTCGCTATGTTGAATGTCTGCTTTTCATAACCTCTGTAGCGGTGTTTATTTAAACCAGTTGTTATCAATGAGTCAAAGCAACAGTGGAAAGCACGTGATTTATGTGCTCAAAGGACATTACTTGTGGATTTTTTTTTGTCTTGTCTTTTTGGAGGGGTTTTTACATCCTCATTGACTTTAGAGCTGATAAAATGATCGCTTGTCCTTTAGAGCTGATCGGAAGCCCACCTCACCTAATTAGCAAAACAATGTTCCTCCACAAGTGACTTGCAGTTACACCTCAACCGGCAGAAGTTGCGAAAGTGTACCTTAATTCACATGGGTCACTGCATTGATGAAAGGAAAGGCTAACATCTGTCCGTGTTAACTCAGCTGAAGCACTTAAAGTTTTTGATAGACATACATAAAAACACTTAAACATACCTTGTTCAACTCTAATGAGTGTTTGATATCATCAACTTTCTTCAGTCGCTCCTGGATCATCTGTTGAACTTCAGCTTCAGTTTTCCTAAACAAGGCCTGTCAATCACAATGTATTGTGTTAAACACTGAAAATCTCATCTAGCATAGCCACCTTTTTTCTACAACAACTGAATTTATTTACTTTAGTAGCAAATACCACATTTTGTCTTTTATACACCAGCTGCAATTTTACATATTAGCTGAAATTGCCAAAAACATACACATTACATAGCCTCTGCTAGCCTGAACCTTACTGTTGTACAGTCCTGCTTACCATGATTTTTATATTCTACTACCATATCAGCATATCTGATTGATTCTGATTTCGCTTGAAGATTTTAGGTGTGTAGCCTACAATTATTTATTTGAGGTTGAAATATTCAACAGACATGCACTGTCACTTAACATTGTCTGAGATTAAATGCCATTTTTCGATCTGGAACTTGACTGTTGTGCTCTACAGTATGATGCATACTGTAATATTCAATTGAGGGGAAAGGGGAAGATGCTTTTGGCCAGTTGATCCTTTTAAAATAATATAATAATTTATTTATTTGTTTGTTTTTATTTTATTTTATTTTTTACTACTTTATTTTTACATGACCTAGTCAGGTTTTTTTTTCATGAGTTACAAGTAGTGAGTAATGCAACATGTACTTTTTCAAATAAGTAGCCTGTTACTTTTTGTTACTTTGTTTATTTACTATTTACTTTAAAACCTCTCTCTTGCTAATATTGAAGAAATGTTTCTAATATTGAGAAATAGGGGCATAGTTGTGCTCTAATTTGTGAGCATTATGGGTATTGCATATTGTGTGTGTTATGCTTATCAGTGATATACAGAGTGAGTATCTGTCTTTCCAGTCCAGCCTGAGATTTGTAATAAATCCAAGCACTTCAGTGTCATCCATTTGGTCATTATATGTAGAGGACAAAATAAGAGAATTGGCCACCATAAAAACAGCTGTTGTCATAACAAATGGCACATTTACCTTTTTCTCGGTCCACTCTCGTTCAACAGGAACAGTGTAATGTGCCCTGTGGTCCATCTCTGTGCACAGCACACACACTATGGTCTGATCCTTCTTACAGAACAGCTCAAGTAACCTCTCATGTTTCTTACACATACGGTCCTCCAGGTTCTGCACAGGTTCGATCAGCTTGTGTTTGGTGAAGCGGGAAGTGTGGGTCTTTAAGTGCTCCTCACAGTAAGACGTCAAACACACCAAGCAGGACTTTACTGCTTGTCGCTGAGGGCCAGTGCACACATCACAGGACACCACCTGGGCCCACGGCCCATTAGGAGGAATCAGTTCAGGCATTTCTGTGGGGAGTTCCACAGGGCTCTGTCCTGGGTCCGGTTGCGTTGTCTTCTGAAGGCTCGCGACTGGGTTGGTTTTCATTTCTTTAAACTTCTCAGCGATTTCCCTCAGCACTGTGTTGATGCTGATGTCTGGTTGTTTGAAGAAAGTCTTTTTGCACATCGGACACATGAAGAGGGCACTGGACTTCCAGTAGCTGCCGATGCAGGCCATGCAGAAGTTGTGTCCACAAGGGATCGAGACAGGGTTTATAAACACATCCAGACAGATGGAACAGTGCACCTGCTCCTCCACTAACATGCTGGTGGGAGATGCCATTCCTGTACAGACAAATGGAGAATCATGTGCCCTGCAAATAGATGTAGACTTCCAACTTTGAAAAAAAAACAGCAACTTTAAAACATCTTCAGTGAATTTTTTTTTTTTTATATTTTCACCTATGCATTGCATTTAAGATTGATGTGGTGCTATATGGTTTTGCAGTTTGAGGATCCAAAAGAATTATGAGGTTTACTCAAAAGCTGTTTAGCACATTTAATTGGTTTAATAGTTGTAAACCCCAGAGTCAGACACCAGTAGTATTCATTAATGAAAACGGATGAAATAAAAACCAAAATTAAATATGGAGAGATGTGGTTTATAAACAACAGTGATGATATATACTTATATATTATTGAAGTCAACACAAACCTGCATTCACAGCCAATTTTACTTCCATAATGCGTTGCATCTAAGAGCAAAACATATTGATGTTATGACAAAAATGGAATCAAGTACGGTGGTATTTGAGATTATCCATCAGAAATTGGTTATATCGTGAGGACGTTTTATGTTAGAATGGAGCAGGGCTTAAATACAGTTTTCATACTCTAGAATCTAGATGATCAACATATTTAAAAGGAAAGCACATTTTGTTTATTACTTTTTCATTATTTGCTAAGATTTTATAAAGGCTGCATTACCTATAACAGTACCCTATAAATTAGGGTCCTTTCAGAGCATTAAAATGGAGTAGTGTGGATGATGAATGGTGCACAATAAGACCAGGAATGTGTTTTAAGAAAGTAATCAGTGTTGAACTCATGTTGACTTTATCCCATAAAACTAGAACAAAATTAGAACAAAATCCTAAAAAAACAGATGAATTATCCAGTCCTTTTTTTAAACATACTTGGTGGCATTATTGCCAGCTATGCAGTGTGCTAAATATACAAAGTCATTTGGATTTAATTAGCAATCCGCCTGTTGGCTCAGGGCCTTGTGCTCTTAGCAACATGCAGCAGTCTTTGACACAGAAAGACTTGAGGAATATGTAAAGCCTGGCTATTCATAGGACCAAAGATTAACATCACTCCAAAAATACAAGGCCTCCCAGACTCCTGCTCCTTTTTGGACCCATAGCACCATTTAGAGTATACGTTTTTAAATGCTGATTATTAAACACATTTTTGCAGACTTGGCAATAATTATTAATTAATATTATTTGAAAACAGAAGACCTTCAAGACGTTGTGGGCATGCTTTCATTAGCAAACGAGTCCTTTTATTCACATCTTAGCTATGTATTTGCTGAAATGACATGCAGAACATGCAGTTTTTTCAAACATCTTCACTGACCCTAACATTTTTGATTGAGTTACAGTGTTTTAAGGAGACTCACCAGCAGTCTGTTGTAGTCGAATACCACTGACCACAATGGCCGTCCTGGTCTGGACAGCAGTGACATGTGGGACAGCTGACGCCCCCCATTACCCTGAAATATCCCCCCTCACCCCTGACTACATAGAGTCTCTTCTGGTTTCATGAAATATTAACCATTCACTCACTCAAGTTGCTTCTATTTAGCAGTTACGCCTAACTATTATATATTCATTCATGGCATGGAATGACAAGGTTAATATTATTAATTTTATTCAAAAGTTCTGAAAAGAAACTCATTAAAACCCTGTATCCATATATTATGATAATAAAATGATAATATAATATGTATTTTATAATAATAATTAACACAGGAAATATATAAGTGATCTGATATACAGTATACAGTTCATTAAGTCTCCATTTTGCTTATACATATTGTCATAACACACATACACATTCAGCTCATATCATAACATTTTATCAATGATAAAAACAAACGATTTTAGCAAGTTGTTACAATTCTAAACTTTGATTCACAAGTAAAACAATTGTGAAGTTAAAGTGAACCAACGGGCAAACCGTTCAAAAGTTTGGTGTCAATAAATTCAAAGATTTTTCATTGCATTTCAAACATGAACAAAATGTAAAATGCAAATATATAGGAAGCATCCAATAGGAACAAATAGGGGAAAGGAAAGCAACAGCCAAATCAGATTAAAAAGTAGTTGTCAATAAGTTTATATGCTCACCAAGGCTGCATTTATTTGATAAAAAATACAGTAAACAGTAATACAGTAAAACTGTAATATAGTGAAATACTGTTACAATTTAAAATATCTGTTTTCTGTGTTAATATACTGTGAAATATATTGTACTGTTGTGATCAAAGCTGTATTTTCAGCATCATTACTCCAGTCTTCAGTGTCACATGATCTTCAGAAATCATTCTAATATGCTGATTTGCTGCTCAAGAAACATTCCTGATTATTCTTAATGTTGATACAATATAAATTTAAAAATAATAGCATTTATTTAAAACAGAATTATTTTGTAACATTATACATTTATTTACTGTCACTTTTGATCAGTTTAATGCATCCTTGCTGAATAAGACTTTTCTTTCTTATTGACCCCAAACGTTTTAACGGTAGTGTATATGTGTTTCAAAACTGTCTGCTTCCTTTTCAAAGTAACGTATAGTCATGTACACTAGATGCATGCCAGTTCCCATTATAAGATTTACAGAGAGAACTCTTATGAAAATGTGTTTTATTTGTCCAGAATCCATTTGGAAAGTCTTCAGTTTTGTAACAGTCTTTTAGAAACTCATGGAAAATGCATTGGAGTGAGTTAGCCGTCTTAGCTGTGTTTAACAGCGGTGATGACCAGCGCTCCGGGGTTTTTTCCATCCTGATTTATGCAAGGGCTGAAAATGGGGTAGACGCTCTCAGTGAACGCATCGGTGAACGTGTAGAGATGAGAGCGTGTCTTCACGTCGTAGAAGGACACCTGTCCAGCTTCGTAGTCTAGAAAGATGCCCAGCTTCTGAGGCAGTGTGGCGAGATGCAGAGGAACTCTGTTGCCAGTAAGAGCTTTTACTTCTCCGCTCTTCAGCCATAAACACCAGAAGCCTCCTTCTGGACTGAGGCGGATCTCTCCTTTGCGTCGCACCGACCCCCGGGCCACTCCTACGGTCCAAGCGGTCTTGTGTTCTACGTCCACCTCCCAGTAGTGTCTGCTGGAGGAAAGAGCCTCGCGCGCCAGGACAAACAGCGCTGGGTTGAAGCGCCGCGGCATGTCCGAATGCATGGAGCCCTTCCGCTGCTCTTCATAGCGCACCTGCCGGCCATCCTCGGACAGACAGAGATCACGCTGAGCTGTGGCGGAATCCAAGATCACCTCACCTATAGAGGAGACCGAAATCAATTATGTTCCTCATTGGTGAACGTAAAAAAACAACAACAAATGAGTGAGTCATTGAATTATTCTTTCAACCAATTCAACTGTTCAACAATGCTGATTCATTCAGAAACAAAACACTGCTGCAGCGTTGCTCTGAGACACAAGAGTACACTGAAAATAAATTTACTTTGAAACTTTACTTTGTAAATTTCACAGATAATTTCTAAGGAGCAACACACTGAATTAAAGTACTCCAGTAATACTAGTTTGATTTAACTTCAAAAATTAATGACTGACAAAGCAAAAATAGACACTAAATTAGACAATACTGTGCCTGGAATGCAAGTCACTCAAAATTAACATTTCATTGAACTGTGTTTAAAAAATAAATAAATAAATAAAGTTGAGATACTTAATTCATCATCAGCCGATTTTATTATGGTTTTGAGTATAATTCCTTATAGGCATAACATAATCTGTGTTTAATTTTGAATCAGGTTTGTCCATAGGTCCAAGTCAGTGCTTTTGTGGCTGTTGAGATTTCCCTTTAAGGATGGATTACTGTAGTTGTGGCCAATTGCTTTTTAAACTAAAATTGTATTGGCTGTTTTAAACAAAACTGAATTTACTATATGTGAGAGTGTGATTTAATTGTCCTTTTTTCTCAGTAAAATGGAAACTAATACTTTTTTTATAACGTGACCCTGGAGCACAAAAGCAGTCTTAAGTCGCTGGGATATATTTGTAGCAATAGCCAACAATACATTGTATGGGTCAAAATTATTGATTTTTATTTTTTGCCAAAAATCATTAGGATATTAAGTAAAGATCATGTTCCATGAAGATATTTTGTAAATTTCCTGTAAATATATTAAAACTTGATTTTTGATTAGTAATATGCATTGTTAAGAACTACATTTGGACAACTTTAAAGATGATTTTCTCAATATATAAATATATATTTTTTGCACCCTCAGATTCCAGATTTTCAAATAGTTGTATCTCGGCCAAATATTGTCCTATCCTAACAAACCATACATCAATGGAAAGCTTATTTATTCAGCTTTCTGGCAATGTATAAATCTCAATTTCGAAAAATTGACCCTTATGACTGCTTTTGTGGTCCAGGGTCACATATAGAAATTTTAAGTCATGATGACCTGTGAAATATGTCATTTTGTTAAGATATTGTGAGACCTGCTTGTTAATGTGTGGTTCCATATTGTGCTGATATGATAAGAGGTTTTATTATTATTTTTTTAGTTATTGGGGTGTTTTGGGTGGTTGCTGTCTGGCCCAAGTTTGATATTCTGGTTTGTAGCTATGGATCAGCGGCATATTCCTCAAAATAATAGTGAAGTATAGAAATGAAGTGCAATTGCTTAATCACTACAGTTACTACAGTTAACGGTTTTGTCATAAATCAGTGTAAAACTTTATAATGCAGTGGCAGTGAACTCGTGTCTGCCCTCTAGAGGAACAGATTGACTTGCAGTGTGAACACTGACCTAAAAATAACTTTGTGTCTCTCAAATCTTCATCAATATGATAAAATATTCCTTCAGCTGAAAAAGCTCGAAACATTATAATGATCCGTTGCAGTAGAAGGCTGTGTTAAACACTAATGCTTATATCAATAGCACTTACTTGCATAGTTTTGCAGCTTCCTGAGTTCTGAAAGGAAAATAAACACTTCATGAAGAATACATAGATCAGGTAAATTAGCCAGTTTGAAATGAATTGGAAAGTGCAGGGAAAACCTGGACATGCTTCTTCACCTTTCCCATAAAGCCGTTTGACCTCGTGTTGGAATTTGTCCACCAGAGAGCAGACGGACTTCCTGATGGTGCTGAGATACAGATCCGTGTTCACGGACACAGATGACCAATCAGACGGCTCCGGTGGAGGAGGAAGAGATGGCAGGAACTGCAAGGGAAATACTAGGCTTAATAACGCTCAGATGCAGACACTAGTTCACTGGAAACTTTGATTGCTGACCTGTAGAAAGAGCACCCTGTCCTGTGTCTGAGCGAGTGCGTCCAGCTCGCTGCTCCTCTTCCTCAGTGTGTTGAGCTCGTGCTCCAGGCCGCTGGACAGATCTTTGGCCTGCTGCTCCGCTTGTTTCTGCCGCGTCGTGATGAGCTCCAGCAGCTCGGCCTGAGACTGTTCCAGCAGCCGCTGCAGCTCCGCGTAAACCGCCCAGCTCTCCTCGACCTCCCTCTGACTGCTGTCCTGAATACAGAGAGGATGCCAGGCTTCACACACTCCATCTGTCTATCATACAGCGACTAATACAGCTCGCCTGTGACTGACATGCCGCTGCTCTCAAATCCAAAATGCACTACAAGTAACGCGAGTTACGTAATCAGATTACTTTTTTTAAGTAACTAGTAAAGTAACACATTACATTTTTTAATTTAGAAGGAAATATCTGAGTTACTTTTTCAAATAAGCAATGCCAGTTACTTTGTTTTCCCATGCATTTACTGACAGCTCTCGTGTTGCCATGTTGAGAGAAATCGGGAGTAAGTGCAGAGGCATTGTGTGTGAACATGATGTTACTGTATAGTTCTAGACTAAATGCCAACATGCATTTACTCATCTCACTGCACAAATATTATACAAACCTGCAATAATTAAATATCTCTAGTGTACAGACATGAATTTACATTTCCTTCAGCCTGAGGTGTATTCATTTAACATTTGGTGTGAAAGGGCTTTTATATTTGTAAAAGAATAACTTTTTTTTATTTTAAAAACAAACAAGCAAGCCCTGCCCAGATTTAAAAAGTAACTCGAAAGTAACGTAACACATTACGTTACGTGATTAGTTACTTTTTAAGGAGTGACACAATATTGTAATGCATTACTTTTAAAAGTAACTTTCTCCAGCACTGCTCACATCTCATTCACACACAGATATTCCTTGGTGAAGACGTGTTGCACCAGGTTTGACTTCAGCGATGCTGAGGTCATATCAAAATATGTAGGACTCTGAATGAGATCTGAAAGTTCCAGCAGAGGTGAATAACACCATAAAATGTGGGTCTCGTTCTCATATAAAGCTATTGTTTGACCTGGAATACAGTACAGTATATTGTTGTATTGACTACTGTTATGACACGTTTATGGTGTATAAAAACAATGGATTCCTATAAAACTATTAACAC